AGAAATGGATTTTGGAGAACTGATTTTTCCATTACCATCGACAATCTTTTTATTGTTTATATGACATATATATATATATATATATATATATATATATATATATATATATGACAGTGTCAGACCACAGAGGAAAATTGAAACAGGAATTTCCTTAAGTACTTTCGTATATTAATACATCTTCAGAAGGAGTGAGACATATATATATATATATATATATATATATATATATATATATATATATATATATATATATATATATATATATATATATATATATATATATATATATATATATGTCGTACCTAGTAGCCAGAACTCACTTCTCAGCCTACTATGCAAGGCCCAATTTGCCTAATAAGCCAAGTTTTCATGAATTATTTGTTTTTCGACTACCTAACCTACCTAACCTAACCTAACCTTTTTGGCTACCTAACCTAACCTAACCTATAAAGATAGGTTAGGTTAGGTTAGGTAGGGTTGGTTAGGTTCGGTCATATATCTACGTTAATTTTAACTCCAATAAAAAAATTGACCTGATACATAATGAATTGGGTAGCTTTATCATTTCATAAGAAAAAATTAGAGAAAATATATTAATTCAGGAAAACTTGGCTTATTAGGCAAATCGGGCCTTGCATAGTAGGCTGAGAAGTGAGTTCTGGCTACTAGGTACGACATATATATATATATATATATATATATATATATATATATATATATATATATATATATATATATATATATATATATATATATATATATATATATATATATATATGTCGTACCTAGTAGCCAGAACGCACTTCTCAGCCTACTATGCAAGGCCCGATTTGCCTAATAATCCAAGTTTTCCTGAATTAATATATTTTCTCTAATTTTTTTCTTATGAAATGATAAAGCTACCCATTTCAGTATGCATGAGGTCAATTTTTTTTATTGGAGTTAAAATTAACGTAGATATATGACCGAACCTAACCAACCCTACCTAACCTAACCTAACCTATCTTTATAGGTTAGGTTAGGTTATGAAGCCGAAAAAAGTTAGGTTAGGTTAGGTTAGGTAGGTTAGGTCGTCGAAAAAACATTAATTCATGAAAACTTGGCTTATGAGGCAAATCGGGCCTTGCATAGTAGGCTGAGAAGTGCGTTCTGGCTATTAGGTACGACATATCTGGCTGTTAGGTACGACGGCTACATAGTAGCCAGAACGCACTTTTCAGCCTAATATGCAAGGCCCGATTTGCCTAATAAGCCAAGTTTTCCTGAATTAATATATTTTCTCTATTTTTTTTCTTATGAAACGATAAAGCTACCCATTTCGTTATGTATGAGGTAAAAAAAATTTATTAGAGTTAAAATTAACGTAGATATATGACCGAACCTAACCAACCCCACCTAACCTAACCAGCCCCACCTAACCTAACCTAACCTATCCATAAAGTTTAGGTTAGGTTTGGTAGCCGAAAAAGTTAGGTTAGGTTAGGTTAGGTTAGGTAGGTTAGGTAGTCGAAAAACAATTCATGAAAACTTGGCTTATTAGGCAAATCGAGACTTGCATAGTAAGCTGAGAAGTGAGTTCTAGCTACTAGGTATATATATATATATATATATATATATATATATATATATATATATATATATATATATATATATATATATATATATATATTATATATATATATATATATATATATATATATGACAATGTCAGACCACGGAGGAAAATGAAACAGGAATTTCCTTAAGTACTTTCGTATATTAAATACATCTTCAGAAGGAATGATTTTACAGATCGAGTGATGGGTATAAATAGGCAGGAGAGAGTGGTGAAGTGAGGTGAGGTACAATACTTAGACAACGCAGACGGCCCATTGGCCCATCAGATGCACCCAATTGGCCCATCCGATGTAGCCCAATGGCCCATCTGATACAGCAGACATACAAGCACAATACATAGGTAATTATAACATAAAGAGGTAAATATATACAATGAATTAGTGAGACAAATGTTTTCCAATGATGCTATTTAAATCGCCCTTTAGCTGATCTATTAGAAATGGATCTAAGTTATATAGACCACTGCTAATATTCAAATTACTTTCTTTGGTGATCTGTATCAAAGCAGATTCAATTATGTTTCTGTTATAGGTGCTTTTACAATTTGTTATTGAAGAAGCACTCTCCCAATCAATTTGGTGAGCTTTTTCTGACAAATGAACAAACAAAGCATTAGACAATTGGCCATGTCTTACAGAGTATTTATGTTGCGATATTCTACATTTTAAATCTTTAGATGTTTGCCCGACATAGAACTTATTACATTCCTTACAAGGTATTTTATAAATTATTTTATTAAATTATTGAATCTGCTTTGATACAGATAACTACTACGCTATCCACCAGGCTATGAGGCCCCTTATGTGTGTGTGTGTGTGTGTGTGTGTGTGTGTGTGTGTGTGTGTGTGTGTGTGTGTGTGTGTACTCACCTAGTTGTGCTTGCGGGGTTGAGCTTTAGCTCTTTAGTCTTTTCACTGTTGGTGGTAATTAATTGACCGCCAAGAAATCCGGACTCCACCTGCCAAAAATTATTGGGGAATATAAACCTGGATATGCGTATGGAAATGTCAAGACACACAAACCTGGAAACCCACTTCGGCCAATCTAAGTAGTTAGTAAACAGTTGATTGACAGTTGAGAGGCGGGCCGAAAGAGCAAAGCTCAACCCCCGCAAAAACACAACTAGTAAACACACACACACACACATATATATATATATATATATATATATATATATATATATATATAATATATATATATATATATATATATATATATATATATATATATATATATATATATATAATATATATATATATATATAATATATATGAGAGGTTTACATTTACATGGGGTGTTAAGTCATAGTTGCTGTATTGGTCAGTAAAGGTTACTGAAGACGTGAAGATTCTGTCTGCTACCTTTGTTTATGGTTTAACATTTCGTTTATACCGAGGGATGACATATTAGATGACATATTTTTCTTTATATAAAGAAGAGTCCAAGTCTATGAACATTTGTCAAGGAATTTGTAGAAATAAGATGTGGAAGTTTTCTCTCTTTGAGGCATCATAAATATTTCAGTTATGTTGTTGACATAAGTGGTTCCCATTCCGGGTCTTTCTTTGCTCACGCATTACATCAAAAAGATACATACATAATTGATAACAAACTTTTCCAGCATTGAGAAGTGCAGTTTTATACCATTAATACACTTCATAGATTATTGGGACCTATTGAAAAGATATATCTGTACTTGACCCAACGGAGACATTAATGTGTCAGGCAGTTTTAGACCATAACATAACCACCCGACAGCATATAAGAAGGTTGGCCGGGGCTCTTTACAACTGACACCAGAACTGGTAACTATATATCAATGTCATGTATTGGGTGCATAAGTGTTTAAGGTGCACCAGCACCGCCAGATGGCTGTGTGGAGGCGGGAGCCGGGCGGGTGGACCAGACGCCCACAGCGTCTCCTGACTGTCACTCCTCCTCCTCCCGGGACTCCCACGGTAAGTGGGACTAAAACCTTATACATCCACCACATCTCACATCAGGCTGGCCGTTCCTTCCCACGCCACGGTTTACCTAACGTGGTAAACACAGGTTGATATCGAGATTTGTGAAACAGGATGACCGGGTTGTATGAGCGGTTGACTGGGTTACATGAGAGGTTGCCCAGGTTGCATGAGAGGTTGACCGGGTTGCATGAGCGGTTGCCCAGGTTGCATGAGAGGTTGCCCAGGTTGCATGAGAGGTTGACCGGGTTGCATGAGAAGTTGCCCAGGTTGCATGAGAGGTTGCCCAGGTTGCATGAGAAGTTGCCCAGGTTGCATGAGAGGTTGCCCAGGTTGCATGAGAGGTTGCCCAGGTTGCATGAGAGGTTGACCGGGTTACATGAGAGGTTGACCGGGTTGCATGAGAGGTTGACCGGGTTGCATGAGCGGTTGACCGGGTTGCATGAGAAGTTGACCGGGTTGCATGAGAGGTTGACCGGGTTACATGAGAGGTTGACCGGGTTGCATGAGAGGTTGACCGGGTTGCATGAGAGGTTGACCGGGTTGCATGAGAGGTTGACCGGGTTGCATGAGAAGTTGCCCAGGTTGCATGAGAAGTTGACCGGGTTGCATGAGAGGTTGCCCAGGTTGCATGAGAGGTTGCCCAGGTTGCATGAGAGGTTGACCGGGTTGCATGAGAAGTTGCCCAGGTTGCATGAGAGGTTGCCCAGGTTGCATGAGAAGTTGCCCAGGTTGCATGAGAGGTTGCCCAGGTTGCATGAGAGGTTGACTGGGTTGCATGAGAAGTTGCCCAGGTTGCATGAGAGGTTGCCCAGGTTGCATGAGAGGTTGACCGGGTTGCATGAGAAGTTGCCCAGGTTGCATGAGAAGTTGACCGGGTTGCATGAGAGGTTGCCCAGGTTGCATGAGAGGTTGCCCAGGTTGCATGAGAGGTTGACTGGGTTGCATGAGAAGTTGCCCAGGTTGCATGAGAGGTTGCCCAGGTTGCATGAGAAGTTGCCCAGGTTGCATGAGAGGTTGCCCAGGTTGCATGAGAGGTTGCCCAGGTTGCATGAGAGGTTGACCGGGTTGCATGAGAAGTTGCCCAGGTTGCATGAGAGGTTGCCCAGGTTGCATGAGAAGTTGCCCAGGTTGCATGAGAGGTTGTTCAGGTTGCATGAGAAGTTGCCCAGGTTGCATGAGAGGTTGCCCAGGTTGCATGAGAGGTTGACCGGGTTGCTTGCCCAGGTTGCATGAGAGGTTGCCCAGGTTGCATGAGAGGTTGCCCAGGATGCATGAGAAGTTGCCCAGGTTGCATGAGAGGTTGCCCAGGTTGCATGAGAAGTTGCCCAGGTTGCATGAGAGGTTGACCGGGTTACATGAGAAGTTGGCCGGGTTGCATGAGAGGTTGCCCAGGTTGCATGAGAGGTTGACCGGGTTTCATGAGAGGTTGACCGGGTTGCATGAGAAGTTGCCCAGGTTGCATGAGAGGTTGACCGGGTTGCATGAGCGGTTGACCGGGTTGCATGAGAAGTTGCCCAGGTTGCATGAGAGGTTGCCCAGGTTGCATGAGAGGTTGACCGGGTTGCATGAGAGGTTGCATGAGAGGTTGCCCAGGTTGCATGAGAGGTTGACCGGGTTGCATGAGAAGTTGACCGGGTTGCATGAGAGGTTGCCCAGGTTGCATGAGAGGTTGACCGGGTTGCATGAGAGGTTGACCGGGTTGCATGAGAGGTTGACCGGGTTGCATGAGCGGTTGACCGGGTTGCATGAGAGGTTGACCGGGTTGCATGAGCGATTGACCGGGTTGCATGAGAGGTTGCCCAGGTTGCATGAGAGGGTGACCGGGTTGCATGAGAGGTTGACCGGGTTGCATGAGAGGTTGCCCAGGTTGCATGAGAGGTTGACCGGGTTGCATGAGAGGTTGACCGGGTTGCATGAGAGGTTGACCGGGTTGCATGAGAAGTTGCCCAGGTTGCATGAGAGGTTGACCGGGTTGCATGAGCGGTTGACCGGGTTGCATGAGAAGTTGCCCAGGTTGCATGAGAGGTTGCCCAGGTTGCATGAGAGGTTGACCGGGTTGCATGAGAGGTTGCCCAGGTTGCATGAGAGGTTGCCCAGGTTGCATGAGAGGTTGACCGGGTTGCATGAGAAGTTGACCGGGTTGCATGAGAGGTTGCCCAGGTTGCATGAGAGGTTGACCGGGTTGCATGAGAGGTTGACCGGGTTGCATGAGAGGTTGACCGGGTTGCATGAGCGGTTGACCGGGTTGCATGAGAGGTTGACCGGGTTGCATGAGCGGTTGACCGGGTTGCATGAGAGGTTGCCCAGGTTGCATGAGAGGTTGACCGGGTTGCATGAGAGGTTGACCGGGTTGCATGAGAGGTTGCCCAGGTTGCATGAGAGGTTGACCGGGTTGCATGAGAGGTTGACCGGGTTGCATGAGAGGTTGACCGGGTTGCATGAGCGGTTGACCGGGTTGCATGAGAAGTTGACTGGGTTGCATGAGAAGTTGCCCAGGTTGCATGAGAGGTTGACCGAGTTGCATAAGAGGTTGACTGGGTTGCATGCGTCGGAAAACCTGACGCCATTTACTAATATTAAATACAATATGCAGATAATATTGCTGCTGTTGAATAAATAAATTCGCTCTAAGAAAACGTGGCGCAGTGGAATTTTCCGTCAATAGAAAACGAGATATCATTGCCACATAGCGCTATAAATTCACCAGCTATTCTGATGGGAATTAATCCTAATACAGCAGCCTTTGGACTTTTAACAATATATAAACATCTCATTTGAATTAACTTAATTATCAGTACCAAAATAGAGTAAATGTGACTTTCTACCTCTTATTGACATGTGGACAATGAGAGAGAGCTATGGCGTCAGGGGAGGGGGAGTGTTCAACAATTTTTGCAAGACCAGAGTTGCAGGAGCAAAACAGCTCCTTGGTCCTTATCTTATAAATAATATACCAATATTTACTCTGATATAACTGTCATTCATATAGGATTCCTGCTATTCAGCAAGCGCCCTTTGACAGTAACAATAGAAGAGGAAGCAAGAATTAATCCTAGTCAACCAGTACATGGTGTTGATGTTAGCCTCAAGCACGAGGATTATTTAGTGTCATCATCCTTGTTTATACCTGGTGGAACAGGCCTACCATACAATAAAACAAGACCTCCTAGTTTTCATTACTAATATATGTAGTTTGTTGACCAATCCTCACACTAGAAAATGAGGGGACGACGACGTTACGGTCCGTCCTGGACCATTCTCAAGTCAATATCACAATTGACTTCAGAATGGTCCAGGACGGACCGAAACGTCGTCGTCCCTTCATTTTCTAGTGTGTGGATTGGTCAACATTCTTCAGCCACGTTATTGTGACTCATCACCTGCATACGTAGTTTAATACTGAAGTTTGATTGGCTGCATAAATATAAATTTAATATAAACCCTCCCCTAATGTGCAAGGAGTCGATTAGTGAAAATATTTCAGAAATACAGTCCAATAAACATCATACAAATTGCTATTGAAAAATATAAATTAACGTAAATATAAACACTATATAAATTCATATAAATTAAATAAATATAAATCTCACAGGTCGGTTCCTCACATTATTTGGTCATCTTCGAACCAGATGACAGATTATTTAGTCATCTGTGTTCCGGAAGAACCATATTTAACCAGTGGATTCATTAAATCAAGAAATCCACTGGTACTAGTGTGATTTATACAATAACATTATATTGCCAGTCTAGTCAGTGACCGGCCACAGTGACCTGCCATCTGCTCACGACCCCCCCCCCCCCAGCAGAGCCTCACAGCGGCTCTACAGGCACCCACCAATTTCGTGGAGTGTTATTCATGGACTGACAACGCTTATTTTAAAACAAGCCATATATCGCGGCTGCGTCCTCGCAAGTTTATCAACGAATTTGTGGTGTTAATTTTGCGAGATCACTAATAATATTTATTATTTCTCAATAATTCTAGAGGCTATCACCTACAATTCTGTATATTATTTCTCTTAAATAGAGAATATATATATATATATATATATATATATATATATATATATATATATATATATATATATATATATATATATATATATATATATATATATATATATATATATATATATATATATATATAGCCAGCACAGAAGCCTTACAGCAACTGGCATAACTGGTAAGCCTTTAACCCACTGCACCACAGCTCAGACCCTTAAAAGAGATGGTAATTTCGGAGTATTTCCCTCCAAAAATCACCACCTCCCAAGGGCAACTAGAGCATAGTGAGGGGCTACTCACTTTTTTCATTAAATTCCTGTTAATATGGGAGAACTCTGTGTCTATGCTTAATGCACAACTTGCCTAAACACCGCAAGAGAGATTATACAACCTTAGAACACTTTCCCACCAGGAGATTTGAACCCTAGCCAGCACAGAAGCCTTACAGCAACTGGCATAACTGGCAAACCTTTAACCCACTGCACCACAGCTCAGACCCTTAAAAGAGATGGTAATTTCGAAGTATTTCACTTCCAAAGATCACCACCTCCCAAGGGCAACTAGAGCATAGTGAGGGGTACTCACTTTCTTTCATCAAATTCCTGTTAATATGGGAGAACTCTGTGTCTATGCTTAATGCACAACTTGCCTAAACACCGCAAGAGAGAATATACAACCTTAGAACACTTTCCCACCAGGAGATTCGAACCGTAGCCAGCACAGAAGCCATACAGCAACTGGTAAGCCTTTAACCCACTGCACCACAGCTCAGACCCTTAAAAGAGATGTTATGCCAGTTGCTGTAAGGCTTCTGTGCTGGCTAGGGTTCGAATCTAGTTATTCGAATCGGTTCGAATAACCAGTCTCCGTGGTGCAGTGGTAAGACACTCGCCTGGTGTTCCGCGAGCGCTTTGCCATGGGTTCGTATCCTGGCCGGGGAGGATTTACTGGGCGCAAATCCTTAACTGTAGCCTCTGTTTAACTCAACAGTAAAATGAGTACTTGGTTGTAACAACGATTCTTCGCGGCGGGGATCATATTCCAGGGACCTGCCCGAAACGCTACGCGTACTAGTGGCTGTACAAGAATGTAACAACTCTTGTATATATCTCAAAAAAAAAAAAAAAAAAAAAAAAAAAAAAAAAAAAAAAAAAAAAATCTGGTGGGAAAGTGTTCTAAGGTTGTATAATCTCTCTTGCGGTGTTTAGGCAAGTTCTGCATATATATATATATATATATATATATATATATATATATATATATATATATATATATATATGACAATGTCAGACCACGGAGGAAAAATGAAACAGGAAATTTCCTTAAGTACTTTCGTATATTAAATACATCTTCAGAAGGTCATTTTACAGATCGAGTGATGGGTATAAATAGGCAGGAGAGAGTGGTGAAGTAAGGTGAGGTACAATACTTGGACAACGCAGAAGGCCCATTGGCCCATCAGATGCACCCAATTAGTCCATCCGATGTAGCCCAATGGCCCATCTGATACAGCAGACATACAAGCATAATACATAGGTAATTATAACATAAAGAGGTAAATATATACAATAAATTAGTGAGACAAATGTTTTTCAATGATTCTACTTAAATCGCCCTTTAGCTGATCTATTAGAAATGGATCTAAGTTATATAGACCACTGCTAATGTTCAAATTACTTTCTTTGGTGATCTGTATCAAAGCGGATTCAATTATGTTTCTGTTATAGGTGCTTTTACAATTTGTTATTGAAGACGCACTCTCCCAATCAATTTGGTGAGCGTTTTCTGACAAATGCACAAACAAAGCATTAGATAATTGGCCATGTTTTACAGAGTATTTATGTTGCGATATTCTACATTTTAAATCTTTAGATGTTTGCCCGACATAGAACTTATTACATTCCTTACAAGGTATTTTATAAATGACGCAATTATCACTACGAGGGCTGTTCCTTACTAATAGCTTACCAACAGTGTTTTCGTAGCTAAACATTACATCTATATTAAAAAGTTTCAAGGCCTTGACAATATTCTCAAACCCAGAGAAATATGGTAAACATAACACATTCTTTGGGCGAGTCCTTTCACTGCATACATTATTATAATATGTACGACGAGCTTTGTTACGACAAACTTCCAAAAAATTCAGTGGGTAACAAAGCTTAAGACCAATCGAATCAATATTCTTAAATTCTTCATCTAAGAATTCTGGACTCACAACTCGAAGAGCTCTTAGATACATTGAAGAAAAAATTGACTTTTTTACATTGTATTTATGCCCTGAAAAATAATGAACATAAGATAAATTGTTCGTAGGTTTTCTGTAAACACTAAACTTTAATGAAGAGTTTTCCCTATGAATAAGCACATCTAGGAATGGCAAACATTTATCAATTTCAGTCTCCATAGTAAATTTTATGGAGGTGACTTGGTCATTAAGTTTGGCTACAAATTCGTCTGTGTTTACATCTGAAGGCCAAATACACAAGATATCATCAACATATCTAAACCAAGGAATGATTCCAGGAGTTATTTTTGAAACAAATTTCTTTTCAAAGAATTCCATGTACAGGTTTGAGAGCAATGGCGATAGAGGATTCCCCATTGCCATTCCAAAAGTCTGTAAATAATACTCATTATTAAAGGTAAATTTACATTCTTTAATGCACAACTTAACAAGACTGACAATAATATCAGCAGAAAGAGGTAAGTCATGGCTCATTAGTTCACGAGCAAGATAATCGAGAATATCATCGACCGGTACCTTTGTGAACAAGGAACAAACGTCAAAACTGATTAACTTTACATCAGGAGTGACAGGAACACTATTCAATTTGTTAACTAAATCAAGAGAATTTGTCAAATGAGAAGAGGAGATAGTTCCTAACAAAGGGGACAAGATTTTGGTAAGCCATTTGGAGAGTTTGTAAGAAATGGATCCCACAGAACTGATGATAGGTCTCATGGGATTGTTAGGCTTATGCGTCTTGACAAGACCATATAGATATGGTAATGAAGGTGATGAAGTAGTAAATTGACTAAGAAGATCTTTATGTTTACTTAACAACTTCCTCAAGCTACTATTGAAGAACTTGATGATGTCTTCAAGAGGATTTTTCCTAAGCTTAGTGTACGTTGAAGAATCTAGGAGGAGATCATTCATTTTCGAAATATATTCCTCCTTGTTTAAAATAACAATAGTGCTGGATTTATCAGCCTTTGTTATATGAATGGAAGGATCGGCTCTTAACTCCTGTAAGCTTCGTCTGAATCTTTCGGGAAAATTGTTTGTTTGGGGCGTCAACATTGAACCATAAACAATACCTTTAACCAGGTTTAGGTTTTGTGAAGACAGAGAGTTATGTTTTTCAAGCTGTAACAATGAACTAGCAATTTTAACTGCAGAAGGTTGATTTGAAATGGCAAAAGACATACCATAACCCAAAGCAGTAACCACATTTTCACATATCGCTTTGGACGACAGATTCAACACGTTGTTAGGATTAGATTTCTTGTTCCAATCACTATTTTTAATCAAACTTTCTAACTTGCGCTTAAGAATTTTCTGTAACTGATTAATTTTTCCGCGGAGGTCACTATATATTTCATCCATCAGAAGATTTTTCCAGTCCAAAGGTATTGCGTGATGAAAGTTTCTTTTTGCTGTATCCAGGCTTTTGAAAACAGAACGTTCCTTTGATTTTGTAACTTCAATGTGTTTTTTCAAAATGGAAGCACAGAAATCACTAAACGGTTCATCACCTAATTTGAGCAGACGGGCAGGTAGCAGAGACTTGGGTACAACTTGCTCACCAAGACATTGTTTCAGGAATTTGAGGCGGATGCGGGAACAGTGCGCTTTCACTAGTAGAGAAGCGAAGGTGGTCTACTAGTGAAAGCGCACTGTTCCCGCATCCGCCTCAAATTCCTGAAACAATGTCTTGGTGAGCAAGTTGTACCCAAGTCTCTGCTACCT